TGAAATGAAATACTAAATCTTACCAAATAAATATTGATTTGAGGAAATAAAAGATGGTCAAAAATGTATTCTATACGATTGTATTCATCTGGGGAAAATTAATTTGAATATCTCAAATCCTTTTATATAAACAAGAAATACAGTTGTGATTCTTAGAGAAATAAAATCTATATACAATCCCTTAATGTAACTATCTGGCAAGATACAATATGGAATATTCCACATGGGAGAATATGGCCAGTCAGAAACAGTAGCATGTAATTAAGTGGCCATAGCACCTTGAAATATTAAGGCAAACTTTGAAAAGACAGGTCTAAGAAAGATGGGAAAAACAACAGGATAGAAATTCAGATTCAAATACTGGTTGATGAAGAGGACCAAGCAGGAAGTTTGAAGAAGCCTAAGAATTGGATTATGAAGCAACTGTGGCTACTTGAAAGAAAGGAATTACTTGAGGGATGTATGGTAAGAAAACCAGCAAAAAATATATGAAATGCCTTAATGACATCAATTCTTTTGCATGATAATTTAAAAAATAAAAACAACTACAATAAGACTCTGACAATTTTGTGATGAAAGAAGAAAAAAGATGCCAATGATACTCTAAATTACCCCTCCTCCAATAAAGCTAAAGTTGTAAGTCAAATAAAATAAAATCCACTAAACACAAGCACAAGCAATAAATGTGTGCATTGTTTCCTGAGTGTTCTAACCTGGCATTTGGATAGTTAGCACTTTCAGATGACACCCATGAGAAGCATGCCCATTTTACAAGTGGCAGGAAGAGCCAAGACATTCAGGGAATACATCTGCATTCTTTAAAAAAATCTAATATTAGAAATAGCATCTAATTTCTTCTGTCATAGTACATTTGCTATAATTCACTCAGTAAATCTAGCCCACAGAGGAGATTACAAGGAGGTTAGGATCCACCTTATAAAATGCCTGTGACAGTCTATCCTTAGGACCCTAGTATTTAATATATCCTGTGTGCACTGTATGTTTACCTTCCACTAATCCTTCTCAAATTGTCACTCTATTACATATACATTCAAAGCACAGAATTTTATTATGTAAAACAGGTCCCAATGTAAAAGAGTCTCCTGAAGCATAACTTTTTTTTTTGAAAACTATAATCTTTTCTTAAAAGTTAGAAACAGAAGAGTTCTCTGCTTCAAAACAAACAGGTAACAGTGGGACCAGCCTAATACATGCACTGAACATATTTTTGTTCATAAATGGGAAAAATGGAAGGCATATAGAATTTTCCAGATTATAATAATTCTTAAATCCTGATGGAGAAACATTGATAAGTCCTTAGATAAGTTCTGAAGGTTAGAATGTAATTATCTTTGATCCTTTGTTCTACCCTCTATCCACTTGCTTCTCTATGTAATCATCACTGTTTCAAGTAACTTAGTAGATGTTTTGCAGCTGATTGATTCTCTTAGGTTGACTTCTGCCAATAGAATATATGGGATCTCAATGTCTCTTCTCGTTCCAGATTACCTTTGACACTATTTCTTCATATACATATGCATACACGTTCTGCTTGCCTATATATACACTAATGATAGCACACACACACACAAACACACACACACAAACACACACACTAATGATAGTGATTTCTTACAAAGGCATTAAAACAGAAAGGGAAACAAAGAGAACTATTTATCAGTAGATAGAAGTTGGAAATGTATATGATGAGCTTGGATTACCTCATGTCAAGGCTAGTAAATTCTTTCAGTACCTATCTTTTAAATTTGAAGAATGCTGCCTGAAGAAGTCCTTTGTAGTCCAGACACTACAAAAAAAAACAAAAACAAACAAAAAAAAAAACAAAAAAAAAACCAATGACTTAAGTTGGAAATGCACCAAATATGCAGATATTCCAAAGAGAACACGGGATCATTAGAAACTTCTTAGAACCCGTTTGTGGATTCTGAAACCTGGCTAGTAAAGTCAAAACTCCACAGTCCTCTAATTTTCAAGGAAGGGTGCTTTTGCTTAATTGTTTCATTTTTCAGTAAATGAATAAAAATTTACACATCCAAGAAACAAATACAACCAGCCAATCAGAACTTTGAAGCCTAATGAAATTATGCATTTGAACCATTAGATGTGAAGTTAGTTGAGAATTATCCAGTTTGGGTCTTAAAATTTTAGTTTTCTTTAATTTATGCTTTATAAAGTATGGATCAAGCTGACATTTTAGACTTCTAATCTATTCTACATCTAGACCTTTTGTTCCATTCAGTATGAGTCAGTAGGACATACACATTTCTCATGAATCATTCCTGAAAAAAGAAAAACCAGAATGTAATCAAGTTTCTCCGTCACATTATTAGCTAACAGAAAATATCAACTTAAATGAAAATATTAAGTGTCACCTTAAGAATAAAATCACACAGGTCAAGAGCTGATAAAACCTAAATAACCACATACTTTCAAGTAGAAAATAAAGGAGCAATATTAAAATAGCAGAAGGACCACAGAAATCACTGTGTCATAGACTTTAAATGGAACATTAGTACAAGAGAATATTCCAATCATTTAAACTTATTGCCAGGGTTGACAGGATGGCTCAGCGGGTAAAGGCACTTGCCACCAAAACTCATGACCTGATCCCATCTCCACAACTTACATCAAAGAAGGATAGAAATGAACCCAGCAAATTGTCCTGTGATCTTCACAGATTCAAATGTGGAATGCAGGTGACACTCCCCAAATGAATGAATGAATGAATGAATAAATAAATAAATAGATATTAAACATATCACCTCACCTTATTAGCAATACACATTGCTTTAGGTGATTATATGAGATGAGTCAATAATCCCTAAAAGTTGCAGTTGCTTACCCAAAGTAAACATTATCAAGTCCCTAAGATGGTTGCTGAGACAAAGTCTTGGACTCCTGTGAAAATTGATTGTGATGGTTAATTTTCATCATCAAATTGAATAGATTTAGAATCACCTAGAAGATATACCCAGAGCATTTCTGTGAGGTTGTTTTCAGAGACATGAAGTCACATCCGCAATGTGTGCTGGAGACCTAAACCAGGAAAAAAAATTAAACAAAAGAAGAAGAAGAAGAAGAAGAAGAAGAAGAAGAAGAAGAAGAAGAAGAAGAAGAAGAAGAAGCAGCTGAGTACTGCATCCCTCTTCCCACATGAAGTGATGGGATAGATGCAGTGTTGAACAACTAGCATCATCACATGGCCACCATGTCCCCCTGTCATGATGAACTTTATATGCCCTGTTTTTGTCGATATTTTGTCTCAGCAATGAGAAAGGCAACTAATACAAAGGTTGATATGTAAATGAAAGTGTTTATGATGATAAAATGGTTGTCAAGTCACAGAACACCTCTGAGCCTTAACATTCTTCCTAATAAGTGGGGAGAATGCTTCACTTGACATTTCTGCTTGCAAAGAGGATCACGTGAAAAAAATGTATTTAGAAATGTGTGAGGCATTCTTTGCATCGTATTTTAAAATGAAATGAAATATGTGAAACTAGTAAAAATGAATGGAATAGAAAAAAATGTACCCAATTTTTAAAGGAGATAACCACGGAGGTTAATGAAAGCAGGCGTGTGAATTTTCTGGGGAGACCAGAAATTTATCCCCTTTCATAGTAAAAACTTATTGGAGTTTTTGGTGCTATTTCAAACATTTACCCTGGTGTACTGTAGTTTGCTTGCATGGTGGAAGGGGTAAAAGACGAATAGAGTTGAGGAGAGTCACCAAATAAATGAAGTAGAAGGAATGTGTACTGTTGGGACATGTCAGGACGCCTCTTGTGCTGTACTAGATTTAAATGGGGTCTCTTGGTAGGGATGGGACCAGCATCTCCCCTGTGCCCATTTACAGCTGCCCCTTTGAGGGTGAAAGGCATGTAACCTTGTTCTCCAAGCTTTCATTATTTTTCTCCCCTCAAATTTAGTTTGTTTCTCTCTTAAGTAATTATGATCCAAATAAAGAAAAGACAATTTAAATGAGAACCTAGAAAAAATACTTGTGAAGTAAAGCAGAATTAAATGAGGTCTTATGAAGATCCATTCAATATAAATTCCTCACAGATGAAGAAGCACCAATGTATTTCAATCTTTGCACGTCTTTTTTTCTTAACTATCAACCTCTTTAGCTACTTAAGCTGTAAACATTCAACATTCTTGACTATAGTTAAATATCCATGCATTTCTGCTAGCCAATATTCAATGTTCCTTTCCTTTGAATCACTTAAAAGAATGTAACTTTAAAATTTTATGTCTTTATATTAGAGAAAAACATACATTTTAGTATGTTTCCCTAGACTAAGAGGAGAAAGTTTATTCCTTTGATTTTGACAAGTTGAACATTTCAGCGCATCCACGGATAACCCTTTTCTCTTTTATCTCCTGAATAGATGAAATGCCAGTAGCACGTTGAGCTTTAGTTAACTAAAACGCATTTGCCAGAAAAGCATCACCGCCTTTTCTGTAGAGGACATCTGCGACCTGCTGCCTCCCGGATTCCTTCTGACTTCAGCAGCCTGAGGATTAGACACATGCGCAGGGTTGGTCTCTTTGTGTGTGCTCCAGGAAGGGCTTGGCTTCGATTTACACTTCCCAACAGGGCAAAGACCTGGAAAGGCCACGTGTGCCTAGAACTAAAAATGCATTATAGATATCATTTCTAAAATAAAATATTGTTTCACTCCCCTTTGCCTTCTGCAAACCTGTGAAGTCCCCCACTGCTCTGTCCCCACTGCCCAGCTTGGGATGGTGAGATTAGCAGCAGCGGCGGAATGAGGATCCTCGTCCTTAGGAATCCACGCCTGGGCGAGTGGTGCCAGCCCAGGGCTCTGGTGGGAGCGGTACCCTAGGCGCGGGTGGCAGGCGGAGCTCCCTGTCGGAGAAGTGAGTGATGGAGTGCATCTTGCCAGGATCCTCCAGCCTTGCCACCCCGCGGGCAAGGGGGAGGGAGCCGAGCGGGCGCAACGGCCCGCCCCGCCGTCCCTCCCCCTCCTCCGCGCCGGGGAGCCGCGATGGTGCGCTCCGGCCAGCTGTGCGCCGCCGAGTGAGGCGCCAGCCCGTGGGTGCTGCCGGGGGCGGCGGCGCGGAGGTGGGGCACAGCTGGGGGCGGCGCGGGCCTCGGTGCTCTGCTCGTGGCCGGGGGCGAAGGTGACGACCGCTCGCGAGGTGCTGGTGCTGTTGAGCAGCTCCGGGCCCGATTCCCTGGTCCCGGTGCTTGGCGGCCCTGCTATCGACCCTAGGTCGGCGCAGGCAGGAGCCTGGGGAGAAATTGGCGGTGGCGCGACTGCCGGCGACGGCCGGCTGGATGCAAGACCTGCGTGGACCGGGCGGTGGACAGCGGTTGTCGACTCCAAGGAGTGGATCGCCCAGCAGAGGAGCCCGACCGCGCTGGCCATGGCCTCCAACTTTAACGACATAGTCAAGCAGGGCTACGTGAAAATCCGCAGCAGGAAGCTAGGGGTGAGTGGCTAACTCGGCTTTCTCCTTCTCCTCCGCTCCAGTGGCCCGGCCGACTGCTGGGGATGGGGGCGGGGAGAGGTGACCCGCGCGGGTACCAGGGCAGCTGGCCTTCCCCAGATAGTCCGCTTGTTGCTTGACCCGAGGAGCGCTTGGCACCTGCTTAGGGTACTCTGCACACCGAGGTGAGGGCTCTGAAGCGCCTAGAATCCCCATCCTCAAGTGCGCTGGGTTCATGTTGACCACAACAAGAAGTCCAATAGAACACAGGGAGTGTCAGTTCCAAAGATATATAAGCCTTGGGTATTTATTACATTCAGTGCAACCCACAATGATTTCTCTCAAAACTGTGCGCCTCTCGGGAAAACTGCTGTGTGCTGACAGCAGGTGTAAATGGTATCTTTCTCCGTGTGTGTGTGTGTGTGTGTGTGTGTGTGTGTGTGTGTGTGTGTGTGTGTGTGTTTATATTCACCATTTCCTGGTCTTCTTTCCCCAAGCCCATTTCGAAATTCTCTTTTGATGCCTCTTAAGCGCAGCACATTCCTTTTGGCTACAGCAAGGACTTTAACGTGCCCTTAATAGTTGCCCACTGGCTGGCTGCCCCATCTGCTGTTTTTCCGGACCTGTGTATTTGTGCCTGTGTATAGGCAAGTGTGCGTTATTGGTGCACTCGCTCTTCGATGCAGGAAAGTCCGTGGAGGCAAAGTTTATGGAATCTTACTTTCTTCTTGAGAGATGTTTGGTCTGACTTGGGGGACAAACAGTGTGGACCTGGGCAGGGAAGTGAGAGGGAAGACAAAACTTCTTTGGTGATTCGATAGGTATTTTAAAGGGATGTACCGGACTGTCCTGAAAGGACCTAGGATATAGATGGAAAGAATGGGCGGGCACCTGGAGAGGAGCTCTCCAGATCTGATGAATATGAATGGAAGCAGACTAACTTGCAGGGGGTATTCCCAACTCCAAGACACAGCAGTGTGGCCGCCCAGGTTCACCTGGCCACAAGATGAAAGGGAAATTCAGCTCAGTATACAACAGAGTGGGGGTTTGCTCATTCCCTAGGCTGTGTCTGTCTTCCTGAGTTCACAAGTTCTATCCTTAGACTTTCTAGAATCCTGGCTTAGAGATGGAAAGTTCCCGGATTTCTCTACTGATGAGTGAATATTCCAACTTGGAGAAAGGAAAAGAATGAAAGGGGAGGTGGATCTTAAATTTATGCATAGAAGTGGGGGATTGTAAATTTGAGAATAAAAGCAGTGTGCCTTTTGGTAGTTGCACAAAGGTATACAGCAGTCAGAGAAAGAAGGTAGATCATCCCGCATTCAGAAGTGTTTATGGACCCTTAGCTGGAGGCAAGTGATGGAGGCAGTAAGATACCTCTTTTGCTGCCTCTGCTGGCATTCTCACTGAAGGCAGACAGGACCAAAGGACACAGGGATCCATTCTCATGCTTAAAGAGCAAGAAATGCCTAGCTAGCTAGGACAAGTTTATGTCACCCATTGTTCCCATCCCCCAGCCCAGCACCCCACTTCCACAACAAAGGGAGGGGCAAGGTTTCAGGGTTCTTCTTGGGTAGAAGATCATGCCTCATCCCCCCCCCCTCCTCCAGAGATAAGAGCTGACCTGGTGAAAACCTACAATTGCTCTTCACTAAGATCCTATCTGGGACCCCCAGCGATGGCAGCCAAAAGAGGCTCTATAGGATTCCTGCTGTATGTGAGTCCTCTTTACTTGACCTTTGATTCCCTTTGCTCTGACAGGGTGCTTATTCTTATCTATCCCTTCAGTCCTGTTGAACTCTAGTTTTGTCTGAGTCTTCCAAATGTGTGCATTAATGGAAGAATTAAGCCCCCTTCCTCATCTCAGTGAAATGTTTCTACTCTCAGTCAAGGAATATGGGACCGATAGCTAGAGAACCCCCTCCCTTCCCCCATTTAAGCTATCCAGGATTATATACTATAAGAACTGAATATGTAGCTTAGTTATGTGATAAACTTCAAGCAAAAGCCACCAACTGCCTCCAGGATAACTAGACATTAACAGCACGTGGAATGTCACTCTTGAACACCATTTCCACCCAACCATGTGTTCCCATACATATTTTGCTAAACTCATTGTTTATTTAAACATAAGCATTTTTATTGGACATGCCTCTTTAAAAGCATTAAAAGTGTGTCTATATACAAACTATTTTTATCTTCCACTTCTTTTCTGTGTGAAGAATGTGTGTTTCAACATCTAATGTTTGAACCCTTTATTTTTTAAATGTCCTTAAACATTTTGGAAAACGTAATTTATTAAAGAAACTTGATAATGTTTTCAGAATATTCTTACACTCAAAAGAAAAAGTTGAAATGGCAAAGCTCTATATTGTTGGTTCGGTGACAGTTTATAAGTAGGTCCCATGAGATACTAAAACACTAATTAAAGATAACAGTGTGTGCACTTAAGAATTCAAATGTATCATCATGTCCCAAATCATAGAAATAGGAATTGGATAGGCACTAATACTTACTTTCACCATTAATGGTATATGTTTCTAATTTATGGACTCCAAACTACACACTCTTCCAAACAAACCATTTGTAATTCAATGGATATATGATGCTTCTTGTGTGGGTTATAACCAACACTTTATTTCAACATATAAAGAATTGTAATTGTATTTGTGCTGATATTTGGTATATTATGAAAAGAACTCATACTTTTAGGATCAAATTTTATAATATTTTGTTGACAAATGGTCAGTGTAGGAGGCCAGTTGCCTACTGCATACCTGTGACTTAAGAACGTCTTTCTTGATGAAATGTTCTATTGCACCCCTTACTCCCTCTAAATGAGGGCTTAGTATCACACTGAAGGGAAAAAATAAAACATTTCTTGGTTTCTGTGTATGTTGGTTTCAGGTTATAGTGGCTGGATGGCTTACACCATGTTCTTTAGTTGACTCATTTGGGCAATCATTAATAAAGAAAAAATTGAGTCAGCTTTGATATTTGTCTTGATTCATCAACAATATTTTCTTCCATTTAGAAAGATTACATTATTATTATTATTGTTATCATTATTATTGTTTTGTGAAGGGGCTGTGTATCTTAGAGAGGCCTCAAACTAGCATTATAACTGAGGATGACCTTCAACTTCTGATTGTCCTGCCTCCATCTCCAAAATTCTTGTACTACTAGCATGCACTACTCTGCAGTGCTCAGGATCCAGGGTTTGGTACATATCAGGCAAGAATTTTACCAAATGAACTATATTCCCAACATGTGAACATTATTTTGAGGAATAAATAAAATATTTCCCCCAATATTCACTAAAGCTCTTTCTAAGTATTTGTTAAAGCACTGAGTTTTATAGGTAAAATTTATTCATGTGATTTTTTTAAAGTATGACATACATGTAATAGTAAGTTAAATTCCGTACAAAAGTTTCATTGCCTTTATGAACTTGCATGTGTGTGTGTGTGTGTGTGTGTGTGTGTGTGTGTGTGTGTGTGTGTGATCTTTGACAATACTTCAGTATCTTTAGAACCATCTCATTCCTCTACTCATGTTTCTGTTGAGCAATTATTGTCATAATTCACAAGACACTGTAGAACCTGTGCTTGTTTGTTAAGGAAAAAATACTAGAAAATAATAATAAAAATGAAAACATGCTAATGAGGCTTATTTATCTCTAAGCCTTGATTGCCCATTTTCTTCTGAACTCTGACAGATTAAATTCAAGTAATCAAGACACATATTAAAAAATATTCAATTTCTTCTTGATTGGGGCTAAACTAAGAAACCTGTCATTGAAATCATTGGTGACTGAATATCCTGCTTATTGACTCATCTATCAAAATAAATATAGCAATATGGAATGATATCATTCATCACTAACATGACTGAACAAAGTTTAAATTGCTGATTTGACTAAATCTAGACTCAGACATCACATTATTGTTATCAAAGAATTTCATTCACATCATAAATGATCATAAAACAGAAATTACCCCAAATACTTTTTGAGTGCCAAGGTCATAGCCACAAGTGAAAAATTCCATATTACTTCATGTGATTAGTATTCTTTTAAAAAAAAAAGAATATCCACGATCATCATTACCAATCTGAATCAGTGGTGTGTTTAAGATATGGAAGATGTATTCTAATATTTAAATATGTATTCATACTATTGTGTGTCTTGAACATTGCTTTCAGAAAAGGATCCATAATATTCATGTTTATTTATAAATAATCCTTTCTCATTAAGTATGGATTTAGAATGAATGAAAATTTCCAATTATTTTTGATGTTTTTTCTAGGTCCATGTTTAAACACACACATCATATAACATTATATGTTACATAATATATAATAGTATGTATACTGTGTCAATTATTTCTGTATTTGTATATATGTCTGCGGATAATTTCTAAATTTCAAGGTAGAGAAAGATCATATGTATATTCTATTTAATTCATATACATTATTTGCTCTGTATATTATTGCATAAGATGTAGTATAAGCTTAGAAAACAGTATCTACAGTAACAAAATTTATTTTTAGGTTTTTAATCTTAAATGTGCATATGCGCATAACCTAGAATCTTTTAATTTTAAAAATGTGGAAGTGAAATACACACACACACACACACACACACACACACACACACACACACATCTACCCCCTGCCACACACAGAGCTAGAAAAATTAAACTTAGATACGTGGCTGAACTTTTATTTGAAGTGATCAAGTATATAGAATACATGGAAGACTGGAATTCAGAAGGAATATATTAGGATTCATAGCTACATTTATGCTCTGATAGATTTGCACATTATGGATGACTTGGTGACGCCTTTAATCCCAGCACTTGGGAGGCAGAGCCAGGTGGGTCTCTGTGAGTTTGAGGTCAGCCTGGTCTACAGAGTGAGATCCAGGACAGGCACCAAAAACTACACAGAGGAAACCCTGTCTCAAAAACCCAAAAAGAAAGAAAGAAAAGAAAAAAGAAAAT